TAATTTACGAATATTCTTGTATGTCAATTAATACATTTCTACAAGGTATAACCTTTAAAGACAAAACAGTATTCTAGTAAGTGGGTAAGCCATAATTTATTTAACAAATCCCTTACGGTCAGACATTTGAGTTGTTGTCAATATTTTTGTTGATGGGCAACTTTGTGGTGATCATCTTATACAAGATGTACACAAATACGTGCACACCACCTCGATTTTATCTGGGTATAAATTTACAAAAGATGAAAGGGCATATATATTTTCAAGCCTTTGGTGTGTAGTTTTCTCTGAAAGGCAGACCTGGTATCATAGCGACAGTGAGGGGTGCTCTTCCATAAGGGCTCACGTGGGCCATTGCTCAGGGACACTCAACCAAATATGAGCTCTCATATTTTGATAAAGAGAATCTTCCTAAGAAAAAAATAACACAAGGTTTTTGCATTCGTTTGAGGGAAGCTTTAGCTCCCTGAGATCTCATAGACTAGCCTTAGTGCCTACAGCACATCCATTGGGCCAATGCACTGTGTACTATGTCTGATCATCTGTGGTGGTTGAAGGTGGCTTGAGGAAATGGGTTCCCCATCTTTAACAGGATTTCAGAAGCTACCTCCATGTCCTAGGAAGAAAAAGGGAGGCACAATCATCCTTCCTCAAACATTCTTAAAGAATCCAAATCCATCCTTTCTCTACAGTGAAACCTCAGGTCATAGACATGACAACTTGGAACCATGGCTCGTCCATGGCTTACATCACAGTACAACTGTTTGGCTCTTATCATTTCCTTCATCAACTTGCCATGAGCACACCCATGTTTTCTTTCTCCTCCCTAATTTTATATACTTATAGGCTTTATAAACTATATACCTCCTTATGTACATTCCTTTCTCACCCTGTTTTATACACCACACTCATTTCCCTAGTGCACAGAATTCCTCCATCTGTAGTTTATTCTCTGTTCCTCAGTCTCCTCCTAGATGGCCTGGCTCTTTCTAAGAAAGGGCAAGACTAGAACACACGTGATCTGAGGGTACCTTGGGGAGCAGTAGTAAATACTTAAAAATGATTTAATGTGTACAAAACTGAGGGAAGTTGAAGGATAGAAAGGATCTAACCTTAACCTTATGGAAAAACAACTTAAATGGTTTACATTCATTGTAGTCAAAATTTTCAGCAATTGTTTTAAGTTTAAAACTTTCTTTACACAAAACCACAATCAGATACTACCTCACACCTACCTGGACAGTATTGGTGAAGATGTGGAGAATCAAAACTCTTGTACGTTATCAGTGGGAAAGTAAATGGCACAAGCACTATGGAAAACAGTCTAACGGTCCCTCAAAATTCTAAACATAAAACTACTATATCATCCAGCAATTCCACTCCTAGGTATATACCCAAAGAATTGAAAGCAGGGACTCAAACAGATACTTTCACACCAATGTTTACTGCAGGATTATTCACAATAGCTAAAAGGTGGAAACAACCCAAGTGTCCATCAACAGATGACTTAATAAACAAAATGTGGCATGTACATGCAATGGAATACTATTCATCCATGAAAAGGGATGAAGTTCTGATACACACTGCAACATACATAAACCTTGAAAACATTATGCTAAGTAGATCAGACACAAAAATACAAATATTATATGACTCTACATATATGAAATATGTAAAATAGCCAAATTCATAAAAACAGAAAATAGTTAGAGATTACCAGGGGCAGGGGGAGGGAGGAACAGGGAGTTATTGCTGTGTAACTTATGTTGTTTGAATAAAATAAAACAATAGCTGACGCTAATGGTTTCCATCAGAGCTGGGCTTCCTGCTGTGGAAACCACTGACAATGAAGCTAAATAAAAGAAGCTAACCTGAGGCTGAGATAACTCCAGTTTTTTAATTTTTTTAATAGGTTCAAAAACAGTTATAGGAAAATAACATATATCCATTTTTGCTCTGGAGGTAGAAAGCAAAGTCCAGCTTTTAGAGGAAATCTTTATCATGTTTCAGCACTCAAGGAAATGTAACAAGATTAGGAAAGAGAACAGTAGAAACATCTACAGTGAGGATGAGTGAGAATTCTGTGTGACATTGTGGTGGGCTTTGGGTCCTTCTTTCCCCACTTACGGGATGAACCACCCAACATCTTACCTGTAGTTTCTCTTAACTTCTTACCTGCAGTTTTTCTATCAGTAACAAATCAGGATAGTTTGTAGATCAAATGAAATATTTTGTAAGGTGATCACTAACTGTTCATTCTCAGCAATGAACTAGAAACATCAAGTTAAGAATCAGCTCGTGAGAACTTGTATGATCTTTTCCAGGTTTCCCAGGCAGGGACCAAAGATTTTATTTTCTCTTTATTCCAACAGAACTATTAATTCCCTCCCATTGAGCCACACTACTGCATGGGAACTGCCTGCCAACAGACAGCCCCCATGAAGAGCCACAGTGAGCTGTTCATGGCATCCTTCTTCTATGAGTCAGACTCAACTCTCCTCAGATATTAATAATTTTATCAGAACCCAATCCTGTATAAGTTTTCTATTGCTTCCATAACAAATTATCACACACCTAGTGACTTAAAACAAAACAAATTTATTACCTTACAGCTCTCCAGGTCAGAAATTTTACATGGGTGTTAGTGAGCTAAAATCTAATTATTAGCAAGGCTGAGTTCCTTTTTTGGCAGCTCTTGGAATGAATCTGTTTGCTTAATGTTTTCGGCTTCTACAGGCCACCTGCATTCCTTGGCCCATGCCCCTCTCCATCTTTAAAGCACACAGACATACAGATGGCCAACAGGTACATGAAAAGGTGCTCAATATCACTAACACCAAGGAAATGTAAATCAAAACCACAATGAGATATCACCTCACACCCCTTAGGATGGCTTTCATCAAAAAGACAAGAGATAAGTGTTGGTGAGGATATGGAGAAAAGAGAATTCTTGTGCACTCTTGGTAGGAATGTAAATTGGTATGGCCATTATGGAAAACAGTATAGAGTTATTTCAAAAAGTTAAAAATAGAACTACCATTCTGATGGGCATGAGGTGACATCTCATTGTAGTTTTGATTTGCAATTCCCTTAAAGTTAGTGATATTGAACATCTTTTCATATGCCTACTGGCCATCTGTATATCTTCTTTGGAAAAATGTCTGTTCAGATCCTTTGTCCATTTATTAATTGGGTTGTTTCTTTGCTGTTGAGCTATATGAGTTCTTTGTATATTTTAGATAAAAACCCCTTATCAGATATACGGTTTGGAAATATCTTCTCCCAATTGTTAGGTTGGCTTTTCGTTTTGTTGATGGTTTTCTTTGCTGTGCAGAAGCTTTTTAGTTTGATGTAGTCCCATTTGTTTATTTTTTCTTTTGTTTCCCTTGCCTGGTCAGACATGGTATTCAAAAAGATGCTGCTAACACTGATGTCGAAGAGCTTACTGCCTATGTTTTCTTCCAGAAGTTTCATGGTTTCAGGTCTTACATCCAAGTCTTTAATCCATTTTGAGTTAATTTTTTGTGTATGATATAAGATAATGGTCTACTTTCATTCTTTTGCATGTGGCTACCCAGTTCCAACACCATTTATTGAAGAGACTTTCCTTTCTCCATTGTTTGTCTTTGGATCCCTAGTTGAAAATCAGCTGTCCGTGGATGTGTGGTTTTATTTCTGGGCTCTCGATTCTGTTCCATTGATCTGTGTTTCTGTTTTTGTGCCAGTACCATGCTGTTTTGATCACTATGGCTTTGTAGTATATTTTGAATTCCGTGATATCCAATGACGGAGCATGATACCTCCAGCTTTCTTCTTTTTTCTCAGGATTCTTTTGGCTATTCAGGGTATTTTTGTTGTTCCATATAAATTTTAGGATTCTTTGTTCTATTTCTGTGAAAAATGTTGTTGGAACTTTGATAGGAATTGCATTGAATCTGTAGATTGCTTTAGGAAGTCTGGACATTTAGCTATGTTAATTCTTCCAATCCAAGAGCATGGAATATCTTTCCATTTCTTTGTGTCTTCTTTGATTTCCATAATTAAAAAGACAAGAAATAAGTGTTGGAGAATATATGGAGAAAAAGGAGCTCTTGTACACCGCTGGTGGGAATGTAAATTGGTGCAGCGACTATGGAAATCAGTTATCAAGATTACTCAAAAAGTTAAGAATAGAACTACCATATGATCTACCTATTCCACTACTGGGTATTTATCCAAAGAACATGAAAACACAGATGCATAAACATATATGCACCCTCATGTTCATATGCATAATAGCCAAGACTTGGAAGCAAGAAGATGTGGTATATATGCACAATGGAATACTACTCGGCTATAAAAGAAGCTGAAATCTTGCCAATTGCAACAACATGGATGGACTTCGAGGGTATTACACTACGCAAAAGAAGCCAGATGGAGAAAATCAAATACCATACGATCTTACTCATAAGTAGAAGATAAAAACAACAACAGCAAACAAACACATAGATTGGAGATTAGACTGGTGGTTCCCAGAGGAGAGGGGGGAGTAAGAGGAGGACAAAAAGAGTGACAGGGCACATGTGTGTGGTGACGGATGGTAATTAATCTTTGGATGGTGAACACGAAGTGATCTACACAGAAATTGAAATATAATAATGTACACCTGAAATTTATATAATGTTATATACCAGTGTTACCTCAATTAAAAAAAAATAAAACTACCATGTGATCCAGTAACCACACTTACGGGTACATATCCAAAGGAAATGAAATCAGATCTCAGAGAGATATCCGCACTCCCGTGTTCATTGCAGAATTATTCATAGTAGTGAAGATATAGAAACAATCTACGAGTCCGTCAATGAATGAATGGATAAAGAAAATGTGTAAATATTGTGTGTATACACATGTGTGTGTGCATGTGTGTATGTATATTGTATATATAATAATGGAATATTATTCAACCATAAAAAGAAGAAAATCCTGCCATTTGTGACAACGTTGATGAACCTGAAGGACATCATGCTAAGTGAAATAGGCCAAACACAGAGAGATAAATACTGCATGACCTCACTTATATGTGGAATCTAAGAAAGTCAAACTCGTAGAAGCAGAGAGCGGAATGGTGGTTGCCAGGGGCTGAGGGGTGGGGGAACTGGGGAGATGCTGGCCAAAGAGAACAAACTTCCAGCTACAAGATAAGTAAGTTCTGGGCATCTCATATGCAGCATGCTTAATAATAGATAATACAGTTAATAATACCGTATTACACACTTGAAATTTGCTGAGAGGAAATCTGAAGGGGTCTCATCACAGAAAAAAATGGTAACTATTGAGGTGACGGATGTGACCACTTGATTGCAGTAATCATTTCACAGTGTAAACCTATATTAAACCATTGCATTGTACATCTTTAAAACTCATGTTGTAAAACCTAAATATGCATAATTCTTATTTGTCATCCATACTTCAATAAAGCTGGGGGAAAATAGTAAAAAAGATTTTTAATTTAAAAAGATCAAGCACATGCTGTAGTATCCCTCTGCCCTGCTTCTGCTCACTCTTCTCTTTCTCTAACCACGGCCAGGGAGCGTCTCTGCTCTTAAGGGTTTATGTGATTAGATTGGACCCACCTGGACAACCTGGGATAAATTCCCACTTCAAAGTCTACCTTTATTCACATTTGTGAATCCGCGTTCGTTGCCATGTGCGGTAGCACAGTCACAGCTTCTGGGGATCCCCGTGTGGGCATCTCTCAGGGCCATTATTCTGTCTACCACAGTTTTGAACAGTTCAAGGATCTTTAATAAAAATGAGCATATACGCCTCATGCAATGCCCATTCTGAGCATGCGTGTCCCTACATCCATCCTTTAAAGCTCTCTGATGTTAGACCCAATACTTTGCCCACATACGCCTTAGTGTAAGTCATAGTCTTTATTTACGAAGCTAAAACTTACCTCTACCGTCATTACCCAGGGCAATTTTACAGACTCCTCCATCTCAGACTGACAGGCAAAACTTCCAGCGTGCCTGTTATTCTCTTCTGGAAAATGGTAGCAAAAGTATCAAATTTTTTTCAAGAAGCTGCATTAAACTTTGGGAAAGATGCCAAAGGAAAGAAGAAAAACAATATCTTAAAGTAGTTGAAAATAATACCACGGAAGGACTGATAACTGATAAACATTATTACTCACACTATGAAGAGCCTATGATTGCTTTGCTAAAAATCTTCCTAATAAACTCTTCTGATTCTCTGGTGCATTTCCACAGCTGGAGCCAGTACTCGCCGCCATGCCCCAACGGAGATGAGCAGCTCACCTCCTCCTACAGTAGAGCTGATACTTGTTTCCACAGCGTCTTCAAGAACACACCCCTCGCAGGGTTGGATTGCATCACATCATGATACAATCGACCCAACATTGTATTATCTTTCATAATCTTAAAAAAGCTCCCTCCCCAGAGATGAGCAAAGAAAACCAATAACACAAGTAAGTAAGCCATAAAGTGTCTTAAGGTCTCCCTGCTATTCTACCACATCAGCTCATGTAGCCCGCAGGTGTTAACTGAGCCATTTGCAGGGATAACATTTGGCTTCCGAAATAAGACCCAGTTTATTGGGTTTATTCTATTTTCTCTTGGGCTTTTAGGTGACTGAATGTCCTCCTGCTCAGAGGCAAGGGCTGACCTCCTTTCCCTCTTGACGTCCCTTCTAGTCTTATGATCCTGAGCATCTGGATTTTCCTCCTTGTGCAGTGGAAGAATGATTGTTGCCTCTGCACAAGTCCTTTAATAGGAAGCCCTGACCTTTACAAAACGCCAGTTAACTGTCTCAGTTTGTCCCTTTATATGTCAGGATTCGTTAATAACTGGGACTGCTTGTCTCACTTGGCCAAGCTAGAGGAAGGCTCTAGCAAACCCTCACTCCAAGCCCGTGAGGTAGGCTTGTACAAAAGCAAAGACTGAAGCAAGACTCTCTTCTGGTTATCTTGCTCTACTCTGCTCTATCTTCTCACCTTACCAGCAGAAGACTGGGCTGAGGATGTTCATGGAGATGCCCTTGGTTTGCTGCTAGTCCTGTGGATTCCTGGAACAGCAGAGAGTTTCGACAGGGTTCTGGCAGTGAAGGAGGCAGCCTCTCTCTCTCTCTTTCTGTATTTCCAGCCCCACTGCTCTTCTGCCTGGCAGTATGGTCCACTGTGGGGTGGCTGCCTGTGGTAGAACACGGGGGGTCTAAAACCCAGCATATCCAGAGGAAACACCCAGGACAGTGCCCTTGCTGGTAAAGGAAAGAGGAATTACTCTTAAAGGTATCTTTTCTTAGTGACACACACCAGAATTTAGATACTATTTACATATTTTTGCTCTTACACTCTTAAAATGGCCCTATGCGCTCCAATTTCATAGAGGAAAAAAATTCCAAATTTAATGACATTTTTCTGTTTCACAAAATAAATGAATGAATATAATTCATGCTCATATACCTATCTCCCTCACAAGACTGTGGGCCTCTCCAGGTCAGGAACACTACCCACTCACCTTTGAATGCCAGTGCTCATCAAAATGCCTGGCACTCAGCCTGGACTCAGTAAAGGGTGGTTGAATAATTATATAACAAATATTGGTAAACAACCATTACTTACTTTTTATTAATTTACCACTGACTGTAAACTATTTATACGTACGTGAGGTTGTTCAAAAACATTAAACAAGCACCTACTATTGTCTGACACTGTGTTAGTTCTGGGGGTGGAAACACGAAATGGACACAGCCCCTGCCCCGAAGAGCTGCAGTGTGTCAGCGTGTGCGAGGCAAACACAGAGAACCGTGTTCTGAGGGCAGGGCCGTGAACAAAATCCATCGGAGCAGAGTTGACAAAGCTCTCAGTGGAGAGAGATGGTCAGAGAAAATCCAGAGAGAAGGCTGCACTTGTGCTGGTCCTTAAAGGACAGCGAAATAGAGACAGGAACTTTAACGGCAAAGAAGAAAGTGTGAGCCAGAGCAAAGCCAAAAGAATAGGGCTTGCTCAGAGAACGGCAAGGTTGTCTGGGGAGACCAGCACCCTGCAGGGCTGGCCAGGGAGAGGCAGGAAATGAGGCTGGAAAAGGGGAAGGAGCCGGAGGGAACGAGCACTTGAGGGCAGGAACTTTTAAATGTTTGGACTCTGCTCTGCTGGCAGTGTAACCCTCATCGAAGGTGTGCAGCCAGGGAAGAACACCACCAGCTCTGAGTCTTAGTGAGGTGACCAGTATAGTGGTGAGGCAGCTGGACTGAAGGAGGGAGAGTTGGGGGTTAAGGCCTGAACTAGGGCAATGCAGGAAGACTTCCCGCTTTCCAAGAGACCTTATTGCACCCACGACCTCCAGGTGTACTCATGAGATCTGAATGTGAACGTGTGAGGTTCACACTCAGGATTTTATGGACTCTTTAGTCAGATCGCTACTGCATGCCAAAAAGCTGAACTTAAAATAACTTCTATACAAAAAGCAAGCATATGACTTTTGACAGTTAAAACCTTGGCATCTCCTTGAACACATGTTTAATAAAGAAAGATGTAATCTTTGTTTGTTTGCTCCATCCTTAATATTGGCATCCGAGGAACACCATAGACCCAACGTCTCTGCTTTATGAGACAAGAGATTAGCACTGCAGGCCGCGTGTGACATTCTTCTACCAGTTGCCACCACCCTGCCATGGGTGATGTCATGTGGACGTGAGGAAATGGCACAAATGCTCCTCGCCCTCTCTGCCGAGCTTGCAGGCAGAAACGCCGGTTGGAAGGTTTCTACGTTTGACGGAGGAAAATAAACTCGTGCTTTTACGGACAGAAAGCAGCCGCTGCCCTTCACAAAATAAACTACATTGCAAATTACTGCAAATCCGGGATTGACAAGCACAGAGTTATACCCAGTTTATCCGGTTTATCCAATTTATAAAAAGCAAAACAAACTATCAAAATTTCATGAGAGCAACATGCATTAGAGATTCATTTTTTGAATCCCTAAAAGGCAAAATGGTCAGAGTTGTTACTGGCATGGGAGTGAGAATCTGAGTGATTTTTTCTCTTTTCTTTTTTTTCTTGTCTTTGATAAGTGATGTTTTAAAACTACTATCCGCATGTGTTAAAATACATTCACATTTCCCAATAGAGCCTCGTGAATGAGCAGCACCAATTAAATTCCGCTAGGTCTGACTTTCAGAGACAAGAGATCTTCTGGGCAAGTCCAGTTCGCCAAGTCGGGGTCCCTCTGGGATGGCCCCTCACAATTCCAGGAGGCCCAGGGTCTCTTACTTTTCCTGTGGTCCCTGAACAACCCTTGGTAAATGGCTCCTGCCCGTCTTCAGTTTCAACAGACTTATCCTATTCAGAGTGACTGTTTTCTCACCAGCACTCCAGTCGCCCACCACAGCATCACAGTGGCGGGAACTCCTATGCATCCAGTCTGGCTTGGCCACAGTCAAACTCCAGCTCGAGGCATAGTATACAGCCTATCCTTAAATTAGGGTGATTGGAAGACATTAATTGATGTTGCTAGTTTTTGCGTCATTTTGAGTGTTGTTTGGTTTTTATTGTTGTTTTGTTTTTTTTAAAGCTGTTACTTCTGGACTGTGAGCAAACGGCCAGTATGCTCATATTGCCGTTGGCATTATCAATTGCCTGAATCAGGGTAGCTTGCAAACGTGCTTAAAATGCTAACAAATATCCATGCCCTTCGGGCCTAAATCACCTCCGGGGAATTTAAAGTAAGGAAATAATTAAAAGGAAAAAAACATAGTGTATGCACAAAGATGTTCATATGCATGTTATAGCAATAAAAAATGGAACCAACCTAAATGTTCAACAATACGGGAATTACAAATTATGATATAATTAGTAATACATCAACTTTGTTTCAGCTTTGGGATCCTTTCTTTGGTGAAACATTGTGCATAAGCTAAATATGTAAATTGACTTAAAATATTTTATTTTAAAGAGCAACTAACCACCCTAGGTAAAGTAGGGAGCAGGGGTCAGACCTGCTGTTCATGCTCCTGCTGGCTCTCGGCTCCACACGGTGGCCCCAACCACCTCCGAGAAACCCCCAGGCACAGGGAGCTCAGTGTGCAACTATCGCATCTTTTCTGTTCTCACTAAAAATGAGGGCATAGCCCCACATACAAAATGTTCATGTGACAATGTTTATAAAGCGAAGTCAAAGGAGAAGAGTGGAACACATACACACTTACATACATATATATATATGTACAACTGCGTAAAATGTGTATAATTGAGAAGATTAGAAAGATGGCGGATAGATGCACGTAATCAGTCTCACCTTACAAGGTGCTTTACAAACATACCTGTACTTCGTGGAACTGTGTTCTACCGAGGTCGTGACTAATGCTGATGCTTTACGTAATTAACCTGGCCTTCCTCATTATTCTCATCTGTCAAATGGGGATAATTATAGCACCTGTGCCACAGGTGAGCCTCAGTGAGTTGATTTGCACAGTCCTTAGAACAGTGCCTCAACGGATCTCAGCTGTCATCAGTAACGTTTTCATGCCGTTACACCCAGTTGTCAACTTTTTGAGGTAAAATGTGATAGCAAAAGAGAAAAATTTCAATTTAGCCCGCTGTGCACTTCACTCTTTTGCTCAGCACAGTAAATGCTTACCCTCATGGCTACAGGGGGCTGCTCTGGACCCAAGACCCTCCAAAGCTGTAGAGGAGGCCCAGAAAACAGCGGTTAGGAGGGCTTCTAGACCCCGTGTCCCCCTTTTTAAATACTTGACAAAAATAGTACTTCCCTCTCAAACCTCAAATGCAATGGACAAAGTCAGTACAGCAACGTGAAGCTCCACGCTTCTCACAAATATACCGAATTCGAGAATGTTTACTTTAGGCTGTATATTTTCATTTAATCTGATGTTCTATAAACACACAAATTGGAGCAGGTACTTAAAATAAGGCCTCAGTATTTAAGTACATTGACTAAATATTTAACGGGAAGAAAAAGATCCATATTTCTATGGTGTTACCTGTCATCTAAATACAGGGTCAATAGGATGCCTTCTCTCTTACTGTTTTCTTCTTCTTTCTGTTATTCATCTGTTTGCTAACGTCTACTCTCCATCTCCTCATCTAAACCTCTCATTTCTGAGGCTGTGTCCATGGTTCAGCCGTACATCAGAAGTAGCAGCTTCTTAAATATAGTATCAGAATTTATTTTTGTATCAACTTCAATTGGTTAATCAGCAAACCATGCAGGCTTACTTGCTGTCTAAACATATTGAGAAAAGCCTCACAATTTTTCTAAGGCTTACTCACTTTTCATACAGTACTTAAAATAATGCTTCCAGGCTTATGTTCATGAGAAAGCAATCTTCACTCCACCCCTTTTCTCCTTTGGAATTTTTTTTTAACCGTCATTTGGAAAGTACCAAACATCAGCAGTGACATCTAGTGTCTGAAACTAAGAGAATGTGGAACGACTAGATTGTTCTCCCTCATTGTGGAGAGACTGTGCTCATTCAAACAATGACACTCACTGAGCACTCAGGCACTGTATAACTCCTGTAAGTGCCTCATTTCATCTAAGATGCACAACAAACATTATATTGATACTATTATTATTTGTGTGTGTGTATCAGAAAAGTGAGGCCTGGAGAGGTCAGGAAACTTGCCCATGCTCACAAGCCCTGCCACTCCAACCATCCTCCTTCCTTCCGATTGGAATGAGTACTTCTTCATGGCCACCGCCCTTAACGTCACACCCAAACATTTACAGAAAGAAGCACTCAGATTTCGCCTCCAGGGATTCAGTTGTGGGAGGGTAGGGCCAGATAGGCCAGAAACCCCAAAAGCTTTTCCAAAAGCCTTTATATTTTTAAGAGAAGATGAAGAAAAAAATGTTTTCTCTTATATGAGAAAGCAGTAACATAATTTCTCCAGAATTCTAAGGCTGGAAAAATCGTACTTGTGCTCCCATAACCTTTTTGAGAACAAAATATGTTTCTTCCCTCCCCTAACTGTGGGAATGGCCTCTTAGGAGTGGAGGTGCGTGTGTGGTAGATGGATGGAGAGCGGATCTGAGGGAAGAAAGTGACTGGGCAAGGGGGTAGATTGCCTTTAATGAAATCTCCAAGCCTTGAAGGCAAGGATGTGGTTTTGACCCAACAGAAAACCTGGAGTTGAGTGACGGTTGAAGGAGTATCAGCTGGCCTCTAACCCCCTGTGAATCTCAACAAGAATGAGGCACGCCCAAGACAAGGACAGCGTGGTAAAAACGACACGGAGACTGTGTGAGGAAGCCTCCGACGAGAAAGCTTATGATAAATATCTTTGATATGTGCTGAGAGATGCTAGGCACCACTCCAAGACTCCCGATCTAGTCCACCCTTTGCCTAGAAGAAGGACAACACTCACAGACGAGATCTACACCGTTTGTAGAAAACACAGGAAAGGATGACACAGAAATACAAACAAAGAGCAACCCAGCATGAAAGCAGCCTCGACTCCCGGAAACTTACATCCGAAGCGGCTTCCAGCTGAGGCCGCTGCCCCTGATCTTGTGCTTGGTGGAGGCAGACCACAGAGCGTAGGACACCAAATGTTGGCTGTTAATGAATACATGCTCGGCCTTCTCTCCCCTCGCAGCGGCAGAGACACGGCCCAGGAGAACCCATGTGGTGTCCAGAAGTTTAGCAATGCTCAGAGGGAACGGTGGCCTGGAGATGCACCTGGGGGGAGAAGGGAGAAAAGGAGGTGAGGACAAAGGAGAAGAAATTACAGGGCACCAAGTGTGAGCTGACTCGATTTACTCAGGAGCACAAATGAGACACTCCCTGGGAGCACCTGGAAGTAAAGGAGGAGAGGAAGCCTTTGGAAGAGACTGGACTCCAGCAGTGGCTGATGGAGAAAAGCTGGTGATGTTTTAAAGGCCCACGGTCAGGTCTTGGGAGAGCAATTCGGCTTTTCTTTTCCAACAGCGCCACCTGGGAGTTAACAAAGGAACAGATCACTGCTGTCCAACGCCTCTTCCTTTTCACCCTTCAGGGAGATGATGCTTACATAAAATTTACCTCTTACAGTTTCTTTAGCTCCTGTTAAAATATTCTTTTTCTTCGCTGCACATTCTCCATTTACAGCTAGAACATCATTCTCCATTTACAGCTAGAACATCATTCTCCTCCTTCTCTCCATCCTCTCCTGCGTTTTCTTTTTCTTCTTCTCCATCCCTTTTGTTGAAATAATAAAGCAGGTAGCTCTCCTCTTTTTTTCACTGAACATACTGGATACATAGCATTGTGTAAATTTAGGGTGCAAAACATGTTAATTTGATACATTTACATATTGCAATATGATTGCCATTGTAGCAATATTTAGTGCCTGTCACGTTACATAATGATCCTTTCTTTTTAGTGGTTGGAATTAAGTTCTAGTCTCTTGGCAAGTTTGATGATCATAGCACAATATTGTCCTTTCTGTTAGTGTTTCTATCACCTTAGCAAGGTTGTTCTGAAAGATATGGTGTCCAGGGCTAAGTGACCAACTGGACATGGAAACATGGCATCCATTAAATTGTGACTGAGGGTCTGCAAGTGCATCAGCTCCTTGGCAGTAAGATTTACACTTTTGAACATTGCATGAAAACTTTTAGGAGCCTTTCAAGGTACTAAAGCACTATCGAAAATAGTTTGTGAACATATACATATGTGGATGGTTGCACTAACTCACATCTTAAAGACTGCAGTATCTTTTTAAAGTTTTTTTAAGGAACACTGTGCGCTCTATATAATACCAAAGCTGACATATAATTATAAGTGTACACCCAGTCTTCTACAGAAGCACAAAACAAATCCAGAAAATTAACGGTTGTATTGTAAATCTCTGTTACTTTGTTTTTTTATTGAGATGTCACTGACATATAATGTTGTGCAAGTTTAAGGTGTGCAATGCATTGATTTGATACATTTATATATTGCAATATGATTGCCACCTTCGAGTTAGCTTACACTTCTATCACTTCACATAAGTATCATTTCTTTTTCATGATGAGAACATTTAAGGTCTAGTCTCTTAGCAACTTTGAAGTTGCAGTATTGAATTGAATATACAGTATTGTTGACTATAGTCACTAGGCTGTACCTTAGATCTCCAGAACTTATCTTCTAGTTGCAAGTTCATACGCTTTGACCAACTGTGTTATTTTAGATGTGCGTGAAGTATGCATTTGTTCATTAAATACATATTTATTGGTGTCTATCTTGTGCAAGCACTATTTAGATGCTAGAAACTGGTTAACAAAATAAAACTCCTGTTCTTAAGAAGATTATATTCTAGTAGAAGAGACAGACAGATTGACATTAAAAACAAATAGTATTAGGTTTAGTGCTATGAGAAAAACAGTCAAGCGAGGTAAGGAGAAAGGGAGTGACAGGATGCTACTCCAGAGAGCGTGGTCAGGTAAAGCCTCTTTGAGGAGGTGACATCTGAATGAATGAGGAGGTGACCCAGGTAAACATGCAGGGAAGGGCCATGCAGGCAGAGAGAATGGCAGATGTAAAGGCTTGAAAAGGCCTGTTGGAGGAACAACAAGGAGTGTGCTAGAGGGCAGAGGGTGGGACAGCAGTAGAGAATGGGGAGAGAGGAGGCCGGACACGGATCACAGAGAGCCCTGTCGGCCAGCGTAAGGACTTTGGCTTTCATTCTCAGTGAATGGAAGTCGCTGAAGTGTGGAGCTCCATGGAATGAAGCATTCTGACCTTCGCTTTTAAAGATTCACTCTGGCTGCTGTGCGGAGAAGACTGCAGGAGACGAGAGTGGAGTGGGGAGACCAGTTGGGAGCCATCGTTTAAGAGCAGAGTCCACAGAACTTGCTGACAGATTGATGTAGTCTGAGAGAGAGGACTGAGAGATGGCTGAGGTTTGAGTCGCTGGTGTGCCATTTACTGAGATGAGACTCCAGGGAGAGGGGGAGATTGCAGGGAAGAACATGGGCATGGTGCGTGGAATCAAGATTTCTGTTTGCAGCCGTTCATTGTGAGATGTCTGCCAGACATCCCATGGAGCTGTCTTACAGGCAGTTGGATACACGAGTTAAAAGTTCAGGGGAAGAGTTGGGGCTGGAGATATAAATACAAGTATCATCAGTATATTTAAATGTTATTTAAAGTCATGGGGCTAGAAAAAAATCACCCAGAGGGAATGGAGTAGAGAAGAACAGACTGAAAGGAAGCAGCTGGAGAGGAGGGAAGAAACCAGGAGATGTGGCTCAGAAGAAAAGTGAAGAGGTAGAAAGACACATACACACGTGTGTGTGTGTGTGTATAGGTATGTGTATATGTATGTATGCATGTATGTATATATATGTCCATGTCTAGTAAATAACTAAATTCATAATTAGACACACCCTATTTCTCTGATTATGTGCCAAGACTAAAGGGGAATAAAAGAAAGCGGGACGAAAGAGCATAGACAATTTTTGTCTTCGATTTAACTTAGCTGCAGAATGTTCATACGTAGGCTTACCTATATAAAATTATTACAGAACAATAGCATGCGATGGTCATACTAAGTGATTTGAAAGATAGTATCTGACCCACTGATAAATTGACACATTTACAATAAACATTAATCAGGACTAATTCAAGCATTAATCTACTATTGAGTATTAGAAATTAATAGATATATGTGAGATCTTTCTTTTATTAAAAAAATTAAAATGGAATATGTCCTCACAACCTTTTCAATTTTACTAGTTTTTAATAAGCACACATTTTCATTATATACAACAAGGAGTTTGTGCTTGTATGGGAATGAAGTGTATCCTCGTAATAAAGAAAATAACTAGAGGAGATCTCATCAAGATGGTGGTGTAGGCAGACTCTGAACTCATCTCCCACAAACACAACCAGGTTACAACTATTTTTGGAAAAATTACCCTGCATAGAAAACTGAAAACTGGATAAAAAGAACCCCCATAACAAGGGACAGTCCTGACGAAGGCAGAAGAGGCAGTAATTCCTGCTGGAGAGGAAAAAAGCCACCTTTGGGAGCAGTGGAGCTTCTCAGCTGGCCAGGCGGGAGCCACCCTAAGGTACGCAGCCCTCCCTGGAGAAGTGAGGTCCGGAGCAGGAGTGATACTGCTATAAGCATCCTTCAGACTCTGCTCAACTGAGACAGGGGTCTTACTGTCTGGCTTCGCTGGCTACTAACTGCAGCGAGGACACCCCCAGAAAAGCTATCAGCCAAAAGCCAAAAAGACCCAGGTCTTAAAGGGCCCACGCACAAGCTCACTCATTGCAGCAACCTAAAATCACCAGAGGGAAGGCTGACAGTCCTTTGGTGAAATGAGACTCACCTGGTGGGCTCTGGGGGCATCTTGGTGAGAGGAGGATCCTCTCCGGAGACTGAGACATTGGTGGGGGCCATTGTTCTGAGCTGGTCCAGGCATGCTGATACGGACACCAGTGGGGGCCATTGAGGTGCATCCCTTGGGCTGTTAGCCCAGGGGTCTGCCACGCCCACTAGAGCACAGATTTAATCCAGTTCATCCAGGGCAGGCAACCCGCCCTAGGGACTGGCCCCACCTAACAGCAAGCCCTCAGGCTACTTTTCAGCCTGCATTGACTGTGAGCCTTGATCCTCTACAGGCAAGTGAGTGTGTCTACCTCGTGGGGCAGGGCCTGTGTGAGGACCAGGTGAACTGTGGGGGGGGGGGGGGAGGGGCATTGGTGGAGAGGTGGGGGCCTCTGCAGTGGGGCGTCGGGGTACGCTCCAGGAGGTTGGGAAGTGTGCACGGACCAGGACTGTGTTGACGGTGTATGTGTTCTGGTGGGGGGTGAGGCTTATCAGTGGCAGAAGACCTGTGCTTCACAAATAGCCATAAAAAGGATCAGCCCAACCTTCCAAAGCCTGAAACAATTGAGCACTCCTGTGCCTAGGGCCAGCTCCATTCAACTGCACTCCTAAGAGAACTGACAACAGCCTTGCAGCCCTGAGGCCTATCACAAGTGTAAGCCCCTGAGCCTACCAACCAGCTACACTGGGCACCAACCCAATTAAGAGGAAAGCTGCAATGGGAGTGTGCTGATAGACTTTGTAGCCAATGGTGTTGAGGCCCCTCCAAACCAGATTTACAAACAGCTGGCCAGGGAAGGAAAGACTAGACTCCCTGGGTACCTGCAGGGGGAGCAACCCTGACACAGCAGAAGGACACAAGTAGCCCACAAAGGGATCACTCCTGGTTCTTATGGTCTGGTGACGAGAGGGATCACACTGCTGGGCCTCATAAGGCATCTCACACATAAGGCCACTTCTCCAAGATCAGGAGACATAGCCCACTCACCTAATACGTAGAAATAAGCACAGAGAAAGAGGCATAATGAGGAGACAAAAGAATACTTTCCAAGCAAGGGAACAGTACAAAACCCCAGAAAAAGGACTAAATGAAACAGAAACTAGCAACCTACACGACAAAGAGTTCAAACAAAATATCATAAGGATGCTCACAGATATGGGGAGAAGACTGGATGTACACAGTGAGCTCATCAGCAAAGAACTGGAAAATATAAAAAAGAACCAATCAGAAATGAGGAATACAATGCTGCAAATGAAAAATTCACTAGAGGGACTCAATAGCAGAGTAGAGGATGCAGAAGAATGGATCAGTGAGGTAGACCAAAGACTAGAGAAAATCACCCAAGCTGAACAGAAAAGAGAAAAAAGAATTAGACAGAATGAGAACAGTCTAAGGGAACTCTGGGACAATATCAAGCACGCTAACATTTGGATTATAGGTGTCCCAGAAGGAAAAGAGAGAGACAAAGGGGAAGAAAATTTATTTGAAGAAATAATAGATGAAAATTTTCCTAACCTAAGGATGGAAACAGACATCCAAGTACAGGATGCACAGAGAGGTCCAAACAAGATAAGCCCAAAGAGGCCCACGCCAAGATATACTATGATTAAAATGTCCAAAATTAAAGAAAATAACTAGAGCTCTCTGATTCTTCTCTTCCTTAATAGTGGTTGGGAAGCCAGATTTGGGTTTTCTTTTTCTTAGTAGACGGCTTTAAGTAAAAGAATAATTGGGGCTCAAATTTCAAACTCTCGTGATAAGTGAGCAAACTCAGCTGAAAGCGTGCTTCGGGGTGGCTGCAAAAGCACAACAGAACCTTCCATTGTTTAAGGAAGGAGGGCTTCAGGCTTGTGTTTGTCCAGGTTCTGATTTCTAAAGGGAAAAACACGGAAAGGAAACTGACTATACAGCAAATAAAATGAGCAAACAGAAGTGAGTTTAGGAACTGTCATTTCACTGCTTGATCTCAGCACATCCAAGTGACAGATGGGGAAACCCAACACAGAACGGTCCCTAGTCCAAGAAAAAAGGGCACTTTGAGGTAAAGGATATTTAGGAGACCCCTTGGGATCAGGGCTGCAGGAGTTTTATGGATCCCAAAGATTTTCATTCTAAAACCACCATGAAAATTGTCTTCAGAAGTCTTTATATCTGCAAAACCTCTACTTAGGTATGGAATTGTGATTAGTCTGACACATATTTATCACAGTTGATGCCTCCCATCTGTACCCATGATTTTATTCTGTTGCTTCTCATCCCACCTGGCTGGGAAAACACTGCATTTACCTGTATCAAAAGCTAAGTTTCCCTAGAAGAAAATTCCCATGAAACTAAAATAGGGTGAAATGAAGAAACCAGCTATACCGAATTCTTTTAAGAATGCTGTTTCATTTTCTTTGTGTGTTTTTTTCCATCCATTCAATAAGTAGATTTAAACAACATTATTGTTAGTCCTTGGGAGCTATACTGGGACTTTCCCCAAAAAACACATGAGAATGAGAAAAATAAGCTTAAAATTCTATATATCAGCTAAATAGCTCTAAGAGTTGGCCTTTATAATCTATACATTATGGATAAGAGCAGACATTTGAAAACTCTCCTTAAAGAGTAGAGAGGGTTTCATATTTGAAACTCTTTCTTGAGTGAGTATGTTGTTGACATGTCCAAAGGAAGAACGTCCAACTAGAGAGAAGTTTGATTTGTCACAAAAGAATAGAAAACCAAAAGCCGCAGAAGTACATATTAACAGAGTTTATCTAAACATGATCTGTTGTTGAGAAAACATTATTCAACACACCAAGTATTTTAGTCCTCCTGGCAAAATTATCTGTATTTTGGAGATAATGCTGGGAGGTACAGCCAACAAAATTCTAATATTATGGTCTCACTTTGAAATCACCCTTCTAGTGAGTTGGATGTTTCAGACTACTCCAGGTTTAATGATACAAACAATTTACTTCTTCTATTTACCTTCTTTATTATGAGTTCCATACTCACAAGCAAAGTTCTGATTTGGTTTCCTGTGTGTGGTAGGCTTCTTAGTGGAATTCAATAAATACTCCTTGTATATGGTCACATTGGTTTGAATGTTCCAGCTAATGTGAGACTCATATTACTCTTTATACGTTAAGAACTTGACTTTTGTTCTATATATGAGAACTGTGAGCTCACTGGGGTGAGTCTGCACCTGAAAGGGGAATCCATCACAGTGACAAATCAGGTTTTTGCCCTCGCAGAGCAGAGAGCTTGCCTCTAGACTTGAAGAACTTTATCAAGAGACAGCAGCTTGTGAGATGCCCTAGGAAGGGAGCCATCTGGCCTACTCCTGACCACACATACCCTTTTGCATTGCTATGGTCTAGCAAGAAAGCTGAACTGTAACTAATCTTCCAAGATAGATTATTGCTCTGTTCCAGGAGAAGAAGCAAGAACTGGAATGTAGGGCCCTGGAAAAGAAGAGAAAGAAGAGAAGGGATGAGGGCAAGAGTAAGGTCAGGAAACGTAAAAGATGAGATTGGGATAGTGTATGGCAAAGAAATGTGGAGTTCATGATCAGAACCATTCTGAAATTCAGAATAAGAAAAAGAGAAAGTGCTGGGAAGAAATTGCTCAAAACCAAGTGCTTAGAACAGGAGGAGTGGCAGTTTGCTAAGAGCAAATAGTAGGTGGGAAATTTATATTGGCAGAACACAGGGAATTGCTATTCCAGGACCCCAAGGGACTACAGTAAGTAATTCGGACTTGAATTCAAGGAGTTAAGCCATACTTAGAGAAAATTATATTGTTCCTTCAGCATCTAAACAGGAATTCATACCAATAAGTTAGCCTTAGATTTGATGTTAATAAGTAAAGTGACAAGAAAGATATAATAGCAAAGATGAGGAAGGGCCATAAAGGAAGAGTGAATCCAGAAGTACCTGAAATAGAGCGATTAACCCCATGACAGATAACGTGAGGCTATGTGGCCACAATTTACCTTTTCATGTCCAGGTCATATGAATGCATGTATGTAAATGGTTTTATTACAGCATAAGCCAGTTTGTTCAATAGAACTGATCAGGGGCTGGCCCCATGGCTGAGTGGTTTATGCATTCCACTTCAGCAGCCCAGGGTTTCGCCGATTTGGATCCTGGGCATGGTCATGGCATCTCTCATCAGGCCATGCTGAGGCGGCGTCCCACATAGCACAACTAGAAGGACCTACAGCTAGAATATACAACTATGTAGTGGAAGAAGAAGAAGAAAAAAGAAGATTGGCAACAGATGTTAGCTCAGGTGCCAATCTTTAATAAAAAAAAAAAAAAGAACTGATCAGAACTCTTTTAGAAGAGAGAAGAGCTCAGATGAATGAGGGCTGGGACACTAAATCATGGCATGGTCTATGGGAGTGGTTCTTAATCCTTTTGATCTCAGGACCCTTGACACTCCTAAAAGTAACTGAAGACCCCAAAGAGTTTTGTTTATATAGGTTATATCTATTGATATTTACTGTATCAAAAGGCCTACCTCAAGAAATAAGGAAAATTTCAAAT